TGGCGGATTGCCCGGCTGCGGCCCTATCTCGACACGGGGGCCCTCACTACCTTAGTACACGCACTCGTAATCTCAAGATTAGATCACTGTAATGCGCTCTACGTGGGGCTACCTTTGAGGCTGATACGGAAACTTCAGATGGTGCAGAATGCAGCAGCCAGACTCCTCACTGGTGGGAGAAAATATCATCACATCTCCCCCATCCTGGCTAGACTGCACTGGCTGCCCATTTGTTTCCGTGTCGACTTCAAAGTTTTAATGCTCACTTATAAGGCCCTAAACGGTTTGGGACCTTGATACTTGGCGGAACGCCTTCACCCACCAAGTTCTACCCGAACCACCCGCGCGAGCCAGGAGGTGAGGCTGAGGAGCCTGATGCCGAGGGAGGCCCGGAGGGAGAAGACAAGAAACCGGGCCTTCTCGGCGGTGGCTCCTCGCCTTTGGAACAATCTCCCTCCTGAGATTCGCGCGGCCCCTTCGCTGGGTACATTCAAAACTCAATTAAAAACATGGCTTTATGTCAAGGCCTTCCCTCCTGCCAGCTTCTAAGCTAATTTATTCCTTTCCTTTCTTCTTTCCTATTTATTATTTATGATTACTATGTTTTGTTATTGATTTTTTGTACTTATGTTATTATAATGTTATACTTTTTGTGTTAGCCGCTCAGAGTGGTACTACCAGATGAGATGGGCGGGATATAAATCAAACAAATAAATAAATAAATAAAATTAGGTATGCTTGAGACAGCTGTGGTGGGACCTTCTAAAAATAACTGAACAACACCAAAATGTAGACTGGAACTAGAATGCCACACTAGCCTAGTTTAAATGTTACTACTCTTCTACAGCAACCCTCAGTTCCTCCTTGAACAAGTGAAAGGTTTATGAAAGTTAAATCCTGAAGGAAGGATTCTAAGAGAAGAGAAGGAGTCAAGCAAAGACATAACCAGAAGCCTGCTTCTTACTGAACCATTTCAATTGCCCCATAGGACAACAGAATCCTGATTAACTTTTATGTGTTATGTTGATTTGTGAAGGAGAAATAAGGCAGAGAGAGAAAGATGAGAGTGAGCCGTCCCCTCAAATAGAAGTCTGTTTAGTGGAGGAAGGAAGAGGGAAAAAGGAGGAAGAGTTAACTCTACCAATGTTGGAGGAAGATATAAAAGATCAGAGAAGAGGGAGAGTGTTCAGTATATCCAGGGGAGAAAGAAGGAAAGAGGAAAAAAGTAGAGAGAGGGAAAAAGGTGAACAGAGATATGAAAGAGTGTGTGGGTTATTAGAAGATTTCCCTACTTTGAAGGTAGGATTTCTACCTGACCCTGACTTGTCAAAGGGAAAGGGAACATCGACAGCAGTGCTAGAATGGACAGTTGTGGTCTTTCTGCAGGGACCAGGTCACTTGAGGAAGGTAATCTGACCTGACCAATCTTTCAGCCAACCACCACTGGAGGGAGATTGGGTCAGACACCCTTGTTACGGGACAATTTGCGAGGTTCGGGATGCTCCAATGAGGAAAAACACCGACCGGGAATGTTCTGGACCAGACCCTCAATGAACCCTGCCAATTTACAGACGGAGTCCTTGTCTTCATACTTAGGACAGTTGCCGGATATCAGTTGTTTTTAACCTATAGAAGTTGTTGTGGAACCACCAAATGTTAATCCAAATACATCTGTTAATATTTTAAAAGAGGCTCAGTCGTCATTTTGTACCAAAAGAGTGGAGCTGCTTCAAATTTCTAACGAACTCAATCACAATATTATATTTTTTTTCTATCCTGTTTTTACGAATAGCATGCCTCAGATGGGTTTCTGAGATCAAGAACTTTTGGCTCTCCAGATGTCTTGGTTTTCAATTCCAAAAGCCTAGTCAGAGTGACGAAAGATAAGGAATGATGAGAATTATACTCTTAAAATATCTGGATGGCCAAAGGTTCTCCCGGCTTGCCATAAATAGATCAAAAGGTACAAAAAGAGTGAGCATGCTATGGGTTTTCATTATTCTTGATGTTAAAAACTTAGGGAGAATTTCTGGATTTTTTTCTCCCCCAAATGTTTTTTCTTTTTGTTGTTTAGTTGTTAAGTCATGTCCAACTCTTCATGACCCCATGGACCAGAGCACGTCTGGCCCTCCTGTCTTCCATTGTCTCCCGGAGTTGGGTCAAATTCTTGTTGGTAGCTTCAGTGACACTGTCCAACCATCTCGTCCTCTATCGTCCGCTTCTCCTCTTGCCATCACACTTTCCCAACATCAGGCTCTTTTCCAGGGAGTCTTCTCTTCTCATGAGATGGCCAAAGTATTGGAGCCTCAGCTTCAGGATCTGTCCTTCCAGTGAGCACTCAGGTTTGATTTCTTTCAAAATGGATATGTTTGTTCTCTTTGTAGTTCAGGGGACTCTCAATAGTCTCTTCCAGCACAATTCAAAAGCATCAATTCTTCAGCGGGCAGCCTTCTTTATGGTCCAGCTCTCACTTCCATACATGGCTACTGGAAAAACCATAGCTTTGACTATGCAGACGTTTGTTGGCAAGGCGATGTCTCTGCTTTTTAAGATGTTGTCTAGGTTTGTCATCGCTTTCCTCCCAAGAAGCAGGCGTCTTTTAATTTCGTGGTTGCTGTCATAATCTGCAGTGATCAGGGAACCCAAGAAAGTAAAATCTGTCACTGCCTCCATATCTTCCCCTTCTATTTGCCAGGAGGTGATGGGACCAGTGGCCATGATCTTAGTTTTTTCTAAACCAATGTTTTTTCTAAACTAATATAAAGTTTTTATAAAAGAGATGTTAACTAAAACTGTTTAAATGTAAATAAGTAACAATAACAACACACAATTGTATTGAAGGGACAACAAACAAAATGGTCTGGACAATATCTAAGAAGGAATACTTAATGCCCATGACTTAAAATTAACAACTGAAATATTAATTTAATGCTAATTACACAGGGTTTCTGAAGAAATTCTCATGTCACAGCAGTGCTAACCATGAGGGGAGGTGGTTGAGCAAAAAAACAGGTGATTAGTAGTAGGAGGTATCTATTTGACTTCATTCTGACTTTCTTACTTCTTTCTCCTTGACATATGGAGAAGACACACCACGTACATCAGGTATCAGGTATTGATTCAAAATTATTTTAATCTGTTAAACATAGGAAATATGATAGTTTAAGTTTCTGCTTTCAACAAGGCATGAAATGAGAGTCATAACCTGAAAAGTCAGATAGTGACAAAGATACTTGAAGTATATATGCATGCATGGGCCTTGACTTAAATGTCAAAAAAGGTACACTACATGGAATTTAATTGCTGTTAAGTACCAATAATTCTAAGGATGACAGACATTAAGACTTCAGATTGAGTTATTTACTTTCTTTAAAACATCTGTTCATCACAATTTTGTCAATTTAGAACTCCCAATGTGATTTATGATACATCAAAATGAAGAACTGATTTTAAAAATTCAGAACGAATTAGACATTCCGAAACAGATTTAAATCATCTAAGAACACAACCAAAACATTCTCCTAAAGTCGATTTAAAAAAAGGAAGAAAGCAAAGGCTCTTTCAAACGGTATAATTTTAGCTGCCCGTCTGAAGCCCCCCCCAACAAGAGATGGAGTCAGCCTATCTTCTGTGGGAAGGGGGAGCTCCACAATCAGGGACTGCTACTGAGAAAATCCTGACTTACATACCCACCAGTGCTTGAGGTCATATGACATGAAACAAAGCCTCCGTTGAAGAATTCAAACTTATGTGAGGTACATGACTTGTGAAATGCATTCCTTAGTGATGGAAAATGTATATAAACTGGGGAAAGAGTGGTTGTATTTCACAGTTCTTGTAAATGAACACTTTGCAACATGATGGATTTTATAGCTCAGGTAAGAAAGGGGAAAAACTTGCTAAAGGGTTTATTTCTAAATTGTTATGCTTTGATGTAACTGAAGATTTCTGAATTCCCAAAAATGTGTTCTGTATTTTTTAATGTACTGTACACTATGGTAAATGAATATATATTTGGTCCTTGAATAATTCTGTTCTTCAATAGCCCGATGAGACACAGCTCCATCTGAAGTACAGATAGTTAGTGAGAGATCAGGAGAAAGCCTATCATTGTCCAGCAGAGAGTTGGCAAAAGCAGAGGTTCTTTAAGCTAGGTAATTTATTGCAATACTGGATAGCAAACATATCCTATTGGTAATGGCTCTTCAGCAATTTACAGCTAGCAATATATGTGTAGTCACTGTGTGGGCTGAGATATCTGGGATAAGCTTCTCTCTTTCAACTGACATACAGTACATAACTTCAGCTTTAATATGCAGGTCCATCAGTGTTAGAATGGGAAAGCTGCCCATGAATAATTATAAATTACTACCAGCATGTTAGGATTGTTTTCTTTTCTTAAAAGGGAAATTGATATCCACCCACCCTTCAGTTCTGGAATCTTACCGGTAGCCTTCAGAATCCTGTAATGAAACACCAGAATCCCAGTCTATGTCATTTGCCATAATGTCTGCAAACACAAGAGAAATATATCACCAATTTTGAACACCATAACTACATGAAATACAGCAGGTCCTGAAAAGCACACAGCTTTGAGAGAGAGAGAGAGAGAGAGAGAGAGAGAGAGAGAGAGAATCTCTTTGTCTCATTGCTCCCATTCCCACATTTTTTGCCCAAATGTATACTTATTGTGCATTCACTCTGGGCCCAGTGCCAATGTATAGGATAACCACTTGTCTCTTTGGTAAGAAATGGAGAATTAGTTTTCTTTATATTCTGAAAGTCTGTTTCAGCTCCTGACATTTTGGTGGACTAACTGTCTTTCTTGCCCTATTGCAGTGTATATTATGTGCTAAAGTTTCATCACAAACAAATGCCCTTCAAGAATATGCCATCAATAAATAGGAACTCTGGAAACTGCAGTGTGTGAGAGAGCTGTATCTTAACCATAGGTGTCCTGTGATCTCATATTCTCTCAAACCTTCTCTCTGTATCTCTGTGTATATTCTGCAGGTTGGTCATCTAGAGTTGCAGTTTATTGTTCAGAAATTTGCTTCGTCCGTTTTAACACTGTTACTGGAGCAAATCCCATAAGGCTTTATGAAACTCTACACATCCTGAATAAACTGTATTAAAATTTTCAAGCATGCTCTGCATTTTTTTCCTTTATCATAATGGGCCTGCTCCCTAGATTGGGCCTCCTGGATTTACAGATGTGCATAAAATCTCTCTCACACACACACATCCACCCAATAGGGACACTGCTTGGTTTTTTTGGGCACACTGGCACAGAATCTGGATGCTTAGGCACATGGTTCTACACATTTATTTAAAAGGTCTGTAGCCACAAAGAGAGTATGGCTTAATAAGAAGTTGACAGCATATACCAAATTCCAGATCTATAAAGCCTGTGTCCTGAGTACACTCCTGTACTGCAGTGAGTCCTGGACCTTTTGTGCATGGCATTTTTGGTATCACCTGGCAGGACAAAGTTCCAAATAGAGTAGTCCTGGATCGAGCTGGAATTTTTAGCATGTATACATTACCGAAACAGTGACGTCTACATTGGCTTGGGCATGTTGTGAGAATGGCTGATGGTCGGATTCCAAAAGAGCTCCTGTATGGAGAATAAGTGCAGGGAAATCGCCCCAGAGGGAGACCACAGCTGCGATACGAGGACATCTGCAAGCGGGATCTAAAGGCCTTAGGAATGGACCTCAACAGATGGGAAACCCTGACATCTGAGCGTTCAGCCTGGAGGCAGGCAGTGCATCATTGCCTCTCGCATTTTGGAGAGACCCTTGTCCCGCAGGCCAAGGCAAAGAGTCAGTCCTGAAACCAGTAAAATCAGGAAGCAGGACAGGGGACAGATTGTATTTGTCTTCAGTGTAGAAAGGATTGTCAATCTTGTATTGGCCTCCTCAGCCACACTAGACGCTGTTCCAGGTCCTCCATACAGAGCATGTTACCATAGTCTCTCAAGACTGAAGGAAACCTAATCTAAAGCCTACAATAAATCAAAGATGCCCTCTAAGATGTGTAGCCCATGTCTGAAAACATTTAGATATTAGCAAAGTGCCTGGCTAGTTGACCATCCCAACTATTTTCCAGCCTTTTACCTTTGCAGTTTTCTGATGCATACACACATGCCAAATAGCTCATTGTATTCATACTTGCATTCTTTGTTCTGATGCAATGTAATGGTTTTCTTCAAGTACTGGGCAAAGAAGCAATTAATACGTTAAGAATGGCTCTGCTCTCCATGTGGCAGACATGATTGCCATGGAAACCCACCATTGTGACACTACTGCTTCTAGCAGCGTGCATAAAATGTGAACGAGAAACCCATGGCTTTAAACACGTATGAATGTATGCACACCGGACAGGCACAACTGTGGTTCCGAGGAATATGCACAAAAGTTGTTTAAAGACAGAGGTGTCTTTCATATATTTGGTGCATTTGTTGCAGCAACTGTGTCTAACACACAATTCAAAGAACGGACACATTTCTGAAGGAATGAATGTGGATGTGTGCCAGGCGCCCTCCCTCCTGTCCTTCAGGAAGTGTGTTAGAGCAGGCTTTTCAAGGAGGCCTTCAAAAACATCCTCCCCCTATGATAGACCCATTACAAATTTGATTTCTGAGTGCTGTCATTTCCGGGGTTTCCTTTCTTATTCCTTTTTTTTTTAAACTACTTGTCTTTGCTTATGGTAGGTAGGGTGTTTTAACTGTTGTAAACTGATTAGAGTTATCTGGAAGTTGAGTCATGGCACCTGGACTTCTTTCTTATTAGGTTGGAAAGTTTCACTACTCATCCAAGTAGCTTCTTCAGTCTGAAGAGAGTTGGTAGGAGACCCCTGATATATCCTTCCCCCTGGTCCGAATAGGCTCGTTAGATGGACAAAGGAGGAGGAGGGGGTGAGTGAAAATACCTCTTCTGCTCAGAGTTGTGATATATAAATGAAGTAAATAAATTGGAGATCATGCATGATCAGATTATACAGTTTTCTAAGCTTTGAATACAAAGCCTGCATAAACTCTAGGAAATCTCTGCAGCAATGAAGTCTACACATGTTCTGGAAGAACATGTAGGCATTGTTAGGAATTCAAATTCTATGCCACATACTGTATAAGACTGGATGCAACACTGTAATGTTAATGGTCAGCCATTAGACAGGCAACATTAAAACCACTCCCCCAGACTCCTGGCTAATCCCAGACTGTGGAACTCCCATCCTTGGGAAGTGTAGCTGGCCACTTCATTCCTTTCCTGAAAAAATACATACTTCTTTAGAGAGGCTTTCAGGAAGTCAGCAGGCAACTGAGAAGCTTTAAAATAATGTTTTAAAATATTTGTAGGCTATCTGTTTGCTGTAATTAATTGTTGGTTTTAAATTTCTATACATCACCTTGGGTCCCCGTAAGTGGGAAAGGGTGCAATAAAAATCAAATAAAATCAATCTCTCATGCAAGGAAAATTTACCCTTTTCCTCTTCTACTGTGAGAGGGAAATTTCTCTCTGAACTTGCTGTTAGCCAGGGTGGGTGTGATTTCTAGATCCTTTATAATGCAAATAGGAGCTTCCCACCCAAGGCTTTAGAGCAGCAACCCGTAGAAGAGGAGGCATTTTTGGCAAGGCTGCCACTGAACAGCAACATAGTAACCTCCTCCTTCTCTAATGTTTGCTGTAGTCCAGTGGTGGTAGATAATAACTTCCTGAGTCTATTATTATATTTTCATACATTTAGCATCACATTTGGCCCTGAGATACTGGGCAAACAGAAAGAGGAATCAGTGGCCTTAACATGAACTTTGAGGGAAGAAGTAGAGAAGACAAGTAAGAAGTAGATATGGGAAGAATGGGCAGAGGCCATATACAGTGGTGCCTCGCTTAGTGATTGCCTCGTTTAACAATGTATTTGCTTAGCGCTGAGTTTTTTGGAGCAATGTTTTCTATGGGTGAATTTTGCATAGCAATGTTTGGGACCTTGCTTCGCTTCGCGATGACAGTTTAGGTCCCCCTGTTTCGCTTAACGATGGTTTTGACAGCCCCCATGTTCACTGTTTTTTAAAGGTTTTAAAATGTTTAAAAAGGGTTTAAAGTGCTTGAAATCATTAGTGCACTTAATAAACCCTTTGTTAAACTAATCTGGCTTCGTTCTGACTTTTTGATTTTTTTGTAATTTTTTTCCTCCCATTGAAATGCATTGAATATGTTTCAATGCATTTCAATTGGGGAACCGCGTTTCGCTTAGCGATTTTTCCTATGGCGATTTCGCTTAAGGACGGCAATCCGTTCCCATTGGAATGGATTATCTGGTTTTCAATGCATCTCTATGGGAAAACACATTTCGCTTAGCGGTTTTTCCCATAGCGATGTTTTTTGGCACCAATTAAAATCGCTAAGCGAGGCACCACTGTATCTGCACATAGACTGTAAAAGGCAGCAGGCTGAGCCTCAAAGGTAAGGGATACTTTGGGGCAGATCAGGGAATGATGGAAGGCTCTCTGTTGGGCACAGCAAAATTGATGTTGAGCAGTTGAACATGGAGAGTGAAGCAAACGACAAAAGTTCTCAGGTCTAGCACAGAGAAATCTGTTCTCTTAATTCTTGGCCTTCACCGGGAATTTACTCCTACAACTAGAGGAGTCCTTGGGAAGGAAGAAAATTAGAGTCCTGAAAACTCATGTGCAAGACCTTGGGCCATGGAGATAGTCATGGAGATTCAGTTATGCTGCGGCTTCCTCCTGTAGTACTTTCTAAGCTCCTCCTGTACGTAACCTCTCCCTGCTCTTTGGGCATCCATCTATCCAAGTTACAAAGATCTTTCAAGTTCTACAGTTCCGTCTTCCCCTCATGAACAAACATACCATTACTAGGCCCATCATTCCCAAGGACTGGGGCATCCTTTTTGTGGTGATGTAGAGTATGTAGTTCATGTGAAGAATGGCAATTAACCTGCGATATGTTCAGCATCTCCTGCAGCATTGACCGGTTCCTCTCCACTTTTTCTGCCAGGGATACTGTGCTAGCATTGCTTCCACCACTGCCAAGACTATCCCAGCTCTCTGTTCTCCAAAGCCGCCCAGTTGTCACCACCCTGCAAGTGTTGTTCTTAAGGAGAAAAGAATGGTTTTCAAAATCCCCAGCCTGAAGTACATGATCATCTCCACCATTTGTTTCCTCAAACATTTTATGGACACGTGAAAGGTCCTTTAAAGAGCCAGCTCCATAGAGGCCATTTTGGGATGCCCTTCTTGCCATCCTTCCTGAATAGCTCTTTTTGTCCAGCAAGTTTCTTTCTGAATGCTTCCAGTATTCCTCAGGTGAACTCCAGGCAATGCTTGTAGGCTGTCCTTCTGTCTTAGACCCTGGCAATGTTTCAAAATCACTGGCATATGAAGCTGGCCCCTGAGATTGCTCCTGCTTGAGGTGTGGGTACTCAGTGCTGTCCAGCAGCACATCTGTCAGGTATGTGCGGATTTGAGCCTGTGGTTCCACCACAGCATTGTGGGATGTGGAGTCTGTCAGTGTCTTCCCCTTCCAGGTCTTCTTCGGAGAGGCTCGCTCATGGGATGGTGCTTCAGTCTGTCTATTAACAGCACTCCTCTTCTCTTTCAGCTCCTTAACCTTGATCTCCAGAGTAGAGGTGCCCCTGCTCAGATCTCCTGGCAATCGCACCGGAACCCAGTTTGGCCCGTTCCGACAGTAGGCATTTATATCTTCATGGCTCTCGGGGGGGTGTTTGGATCTAGAAATATTTTTGACACACTGCTTTATGTTCTTCAAGGCTTTCCTTCTTTCAGAAGAGGAATTCCCCTCCATGCTCCCACTTTCAGGCGATGAAACCTGTTGTTGAAGGAAGAAACAAGAAAACAAGAAAAGCTGCATGAACGAAACCTTTTTTGCTTGCCAGGAGAAAATTCTATGTAACTGATGGATTAGAATGGACCTATAATTTCTCTCTAGCGAGGGATCAATATAGAGGGCTATTATTCTTTGCAATAAAAATATTAACTATTTGTGAGACAGGTGGTGAGAGTGGTAGCCCTCTTGCTGCAGTGCCATCCCTTCCCCTTAATGCCAAGAAAGAGAAACAGACCCTGCCTGCCTCGTCTCCCAAGAGAACAGAGCAGTGAGGGACAGATACACAGGAAATAGAAGGAGAAATACAAAAGTGAACTGTTGAAGGAACTCATGGAAAAACGGTGGGAACAGAGCGGAAAAAGAGGGTGGAGATAGAGGCGAGAACAGCAGATATAAAGAGGAGGGAAGGACAGTTACCACCAGGTTGGGAGTGGGTCTAGATGGAGGATCCCTGGACAGGAGCATGGGAAAGGCTGAGGGTCCCAAAAGAGGAGAAAAATTCCTTCAAAACCTTCTTATTGGGGAGAAGCAGAAGCCAGAGAGTGGAGGAGAAAGCTAAATAAGAAAAAGAGAGAGTAGAGAGAGAAAGGAAGGAGAGGCTGGAATGGAGGGTGAGCAAAATGAGGATGGAGGGGTACAGGGAGGACCCTGGAAGACACACACACCCGTTGGATGTTCCGTGTGAGTAGATGGCTGGGAGGATGACACCATGCCCCTGCTGGAAGGTGAAGTGGGACAGACAGTCAACCTGAATTTATCTATAGATTGGCCGGGTCCATGGAACTCAGGTGAAGGGAACCCGTTTCTAGATGAAGAGTGGAAGCCCTTGGCTGACCCGTTGTCAGAAGGAGAAAAACGGTGGAATAATTTTGTTGACACCGGTTATTTGTTGAACACACCAATAAATATCACACCTGTTTCTAAATTACAAAAAACTCCTGATTTATTTGAACGAAGAAAGGAGCCTGAAGCTGAATCCTCACATACTGGCATCCAGCGTGGGAGGCCTTCACCATTAGAAGGTCCCACAGAAGAATGGCTCCGCAAAGTAACAGAAGGTCAAGAAACTTTGATAAAACAACTGGTGGATCAGCAAAATCTATTGATTATGCAATTAACGAGAACCCACCTCGCTGCACTGCTGCCTCCAGAAACGATGCCACATAAGGCATTCATAGCAAGCCATAAAAATACAAAAAATGGGCCCACATGATGACCCAGCGGTGTTTCTCAATATGTTTGAATGAGTGGCTACGACGGCGCAATGACCAACAGAACAGTGGGCTTTGATCCTCACGCCATATTTAACAGGCTCACCAGAAGAAATAGTAGACACACTGGATCCGCTTGAAGCAGGAAATTACACGAAAGTAAAGATGGCAATCCTAAACACATTGAACCTAAATGACAAGGCATACCAATGACGGTTTAGAGACCTGAGATTACACCCCGGAATACACCCGTGAACTCTAGCACAAAAAATGAGGGTCAATGCCACAAGGTGGGCGAAACTAACTTGGAAAATATTGCCATCACCGCTCTCCCTGTGAGCATGGCATATTCACCTAGCAAGTCAAGCAGCTGGATGGTGGAGAGCTACTCTTGTGCAGGACTTGAAGGCACAGAGATACTGTGCCTTCAAGTCCTGCACAGGAGTAGCTCCCCACCATACTACTCCCTGTCCCTGTGAGAGAGATGACATGCCACGCTCCAGCAGTTGTGGGGCACTTTGGGCGAAGCCTCCACAGTGGTAACCCCAAGAAGACTGGCAGACAGCTTACTTCCTTAAACATCCCCCTCATTACTCTCCGGGGGGGTAAGGCACGTCACTGATGCTATGAGGCTCTGACAAAGCAGCTACCTCATGGGGCAAAGGCCTGTCTGAATACTGCTTCACATCAGATGCCATGAGCATTTCTAGCAGATTAGAATCTGCAGCTGGAGAACCGGATTCTGTGTTCTTCATCATCTCTTCTATACAAAGCTGCTTTGGGGGTTTAAAAGATGAGGAGCGGCCCGAGGGAACTCTTTGTCTTTTCTTCTTTCCCATTCTGGGAGTACCAAGGGAGCAACAAGGTTAATTCAGGGCAAATCAGAGGGCATGGGAGCACTGCCTTCAGGCTGAGGTGAGATACTCAGCACAACTCAGCAGAATTCAGGTTGAAAGAGTATAGCTGAGGTTTTTGCTGATGTTGAGCTGCACTTGTACCCACCAAAATTCCACAGTGCAGAGGTGAATGGCAGGGCTTGGTTTGACTTTTAGCCTGGTGTTATCTTCCCTGCTTCTTCTGCCTATTGTTAGAGTTATGTGGCTATACAAGAGCAGAAGTCAACACAGCCTCTCACATTAGTCTTTAATAATAAAACAAAAGCTCCACAACTGTGGGCATTAGTAAGCTGTCTGAATTCAGGGCTACATTCAAACAGGTTACCAGCACCTCCTCCACTGAGGGAGACTGTAGCTCTATGGTTCTTATAGTGCAGCTGATTACTTAATATATATATATATAACATAAATAAAACTGAACTAAAACAGAGCACTCCCTAACTTTGTTGGCTGAGGGCCCAGACTTGGTTGGTGCTGTGCACCAGCAATCAGTTTCCTGCTCAGAGAGATGCAAATAAAACAAGCTTTTAGAATCTTTAAAATCTTAAAAGAGTGGAGAGCCTAACCTATGTGTCCATTCTTGTCTGCCATGGGAAATCACTCCCCAAGCTTACGACATCAGTTACCATGCCAACAAAAAGCCTAACAGTGCCTACATCATGTTTCAAAGATTTTGAATACTCTCTGAAGAAGATAGGGAGAGAAGCAAAGAGGAGACGTGAGAGTTTTCCTTTCCATTTAGACAAGTGAGGTGAATGACGTTCCATATACATGGCAACAGGTATTTTCAGACTCAGGTTTTCAAAAGCATTCAAAAGTCTCCGGGTTGCTTTCATCCATAATGCTGATATTGTTGGCTGCTAGTTCCCAGTTCCTTATTTGCATGAAATTTCAGAACAGAAAACAATCAGTATCTCAAAAGGGTATGCAATGTTATGCTCCTCTGCATCATGCTCTATCCCTGGAAAAGACCCTGATGTTGGGAAAGAGTGAAGGCAAGAGGAGAAGGGGACAACAGAGGATGAGATGGCTGGACAGTGTCACCGAAGCTACCAACATGAATTTGATCCACCTCTGGGAGGTAGCAGAAGGCCTGGCGTGCTCTGGTCCATGGGGTCATGAAGAGTCGGACACGACTTGACTAAACAACAACAAATCACAATCTACGCTAATGGCTACCCCATAATATGGCTGGAAGAGTTAAGATAAACAATATTTCTGTCCACACCAAAATATTTGTACAATGCACGTTTTTCTGAAATGACCATGGCTGAAAATGATAAAAAAAAACATGGGAGATATGAACTCAATAATCTTTGGATTGACCCATTTAAAACAGTCACACATCCAAAAAAAAGTGTTCCTGTGTGATACCATCTGCCACAGACATGATTGTGAAGCTTTGGGATTATACCTACCCCATCTCTTTCTGTTTTAGTCTGTGAAGACTAACAGCCATTATCATATTTATATGCAACACACAGGCAATCCATGTTATGAACAGAGAGCACCTTATAAAACACCCTGCAGGTGAGCCCCCCTTCCCCGCTTCAGACCATAGGCCACTCTTGCACTACAGATGTCTCAAATCAAACTATATTGCAATATAATGTCACATGGAAAATGATGCAATGAGATTGTCAATCGCTCACTTCTACCAATGATAACATAGCTTGTTTCCGCATGTGTTCATTTAAGTTGTTCATTTAATAAATAACACATGGTTATGGACATTAGCCTTATTAACCTTTTCCAGCCCAAGGGCAACTCCCTTACTGAAAGTGTAGGCAGAATTAGCAGGGGTGATGCTAGCACAACAAAGAGAGAAGTCATCATGCTGAATAATTTGAGGCTGCTAGGAATGGGAAGTAACAGGGGGAGAGACAAAGTTAAGGTTTCAACAAAGCATTGGAGAGTTAAGACATTCCCATACAGTGGCAAATAGAGTCAAGTTACAAAGAGAGGCAAATTGAAAAGTTGCCTACGGACCATCAGGTAAAAAGCCATGGGCCATAGGACTACATGGCAGCAAGACCTGTGAGAGAGCTGGCCTGACTGCTTGAGAGTGAAGCAAGAAATGTGTGACGCCCCAGGGATTTACTATGCCAGTGATAGACATGATTACTGGTAAGCCAAGAAACCAAATCTGCAGGTAGGTTCCAGAGGCAATCATATGTGAAAGCATTGAATTTAAACTGTATGAGCTATGCACGTCAAGTATGTGTTGGTCTCTTTTAAAAAGTGGTGAAGGCCCAATTCTTATTCACATTGAGTCTGGCCCAATAATCCTCTCAGCAGTTTCACTACTGTGAGTAGGGGGAAGCACCTAACTTCCAGGGATAACTCCAGATCTTGGAAAGCTTGAGCTTTTGCCAAGGCCCCCAAATGGCAATGGAACAAGTACTTCAACAGTGCTACAGTTCTCTCTTTCTATTGAGTACTTTGGAGAATTAAAGCACTGAGGCAGAACTGCTGTTTTTAATCTACTAATGCCTTTTATGTTAAGGGGCTCACAGCTATGTTGTCACTGAGAGCTGTCACCCTTGTCTTCACATCCTGGGTCTCATGACTGTTGTCCCCCATGCAATTCCCACCCTCCATGCTAATAATTAGAAAACATTCATATTTGCAAGCAACCGATAGTAAATAAAGAGAGGGGACGTCACACCAGATGAGTATCAACATTTCAACATTTTGGAGAGTTCAATAAACACTTACCAAGCCTTCTTAGATCAACAGCAATGTTTGCTTCAGTGAGGAAAAAAGAGAGGAGCTTGTGCCACTAGCACCCATACCTGACACGCACCATTCTGGGAAGGCATTCTTCCAAGATCTGCAGATCCAGCCAAATTAAATTTTTAAAAGTTGTAGAAATTGCAGCCAAAGGTCCAGTTTCGTGCCTACAATCACCCCCATCTGCCATAGGCTAGATTTTGAAGGGGCTGCTAATTAAGCCTTATTCATTCTTGGCAGAAGAGACATTTCTTCTGGCTTGTTATCTGCAGCTTTTTAAAGTCCAGATCATAATTTCTTAAGCAATATATAGTACACACACTAATGCTGCAAACTAAGACATGCTCCTAAAGACAATGGCTCAAATCGTTAGAGTAAAAATTAAAATAAAACAACAACCCAACACCACCAACAACTATGACTATGAAACTGGAAAGAGGGCCTCAAGCTGTACTTGAGTTGGACTTGAAACAAATGCCAGGCAACTTAAAGGCTCGCATCCTCAGAAGGGACTATTGCTAACAGAAAAGAACTCAGCTTTAAGTTGCCCACTAAACAGAAGTCCAGGAGCCCCTAGCTAGGCCGCAGCCTGCTTTGAGAAAAAGAAGTTTCCTGCAGTGGCTTTCTGAGCGTCACACCCCTTAAAGTGAGCGATGTGCAAAGAAATGAAAAGGAGGGGGGAAAACTCTGGAGTCTGAGCAATGTGACCTCTTTTTCCTCTCCCCCGCCCCCCCTCCGGTCTGCCTCTGTTTCTCAAGCCAGCCAGCTGTGTACGAGTAAAGCCTTGGGAAATGGAATTGGCTGTATGCTTGCTGGAAGCTGCATACCAGGGAATCCAACCAAAAATCACTCACACTAACCACTGGAACAGGCCGCTATAGAAGCTCTGCCTAGTTTTGAGGGACCGGTACGGTTGCCATGGCAACAAACCAGCACAGCCATTCAGGGAGAGAGAGCAAATGTTATAAAAGTCCTCAAACTGGCTGACTGGAAAGGAAAAAAAAGTACAATGTGTAACTGGACACTTCAAGGCCAACCCGCAACCCCCCCCCCGAAAAAAAAACCACTGGAGGGACATTTTGAGAAAGGGATGTATGTGGAAAAGAAAAAGGAGAGGCAAAGAGAGAAGAAAGGAAGCTGAACCATCTCTGGCTGCCATTCAGGAATTCCCTTTAGTTTAGTCTTTATTTTTGTAGGGAGCTGGTTAGAATTTTAAACTCCTTCAGAGGCTTTGGAGGGCAGTTTGGGATGAAAATGAATCTTTCCACTGGCTTTGGGGATTTAAATTGGGTGTGATATACAGGACAGAGTATTTGAGACCCTCTAAGTGAAAGGTTAGGGCTCTGCAACAAAACAGGGGCACACTTTGGGATTTGTTCACAAATCATTTATGAATCGAGACCTTAATGAACACTCATCTGAAAAAAAATAAGAATAGGCACAAACTTCTTTTGTTGTTGATATCTTCAGTTATGATGATGATATTTTCAATTACAGCCTGAAAATTATAGCCTGAAAACAATCAGACGTGCAAAGGAAATTTTCTTTAGATTTTTTAAAATTCCGCTTGCTTAAGGAGTTTACAAGTTAAACAGATTAAAACCAACAAAAAATTACTAAGAAGCCAGCAGATAAAGTACAGTCAATAAGTAAGGAAATTAAAAACCAGCCAACTTTACAGGAAAATACTTAATGGAAAATAAATGTCTTTGTGCTGTGGCAGGAGGCCTACAAAAAGAGGCATGAGGGGCCTCCATTACCATGGAGTTCCAAAGTTTATGCTTCTGAGTAGGTCTGTCTTGCCCACCTGTTTAATTTTAAAGTATGAGTACCTTTGACAAAACCAGAAAGAGGTAGCAAGGGAGAGAGCAACAGCACACCTAACAGAAACAAAATCAAGTAACAGGCTAGGGAAACCCTAGAGGATGAGGCTTTGGGGAGAGAGGAGGCCCTTTCTGGGCTGGACTGGGATCACACACAAACTGGATTAGGCTTGTGGGTAGAAGGTCCCCCAAGCCTAATCCAGTTTGTGTGTGATCCCAGTCCAGCCCAGAAAGGGCCTCCTCTCTCCCCAAAGTCCCATCCTCTAGGCCCTAGAATCTAGGGATTTGCTCCATCCCACTCAGTCTCTTATTCAGGAACAGAGCAGGGGAGAGGAATCTGCCTTTTACCTCCTATTAGAGGTCAGGTGTAAAAGATCAGGGTTCCCACCCCCGGCTTGCTGCTTGCCTTCTAAACCGAGAAGAAGAGATGTTAGCTCCTGTCTCTGTTAAGAGAAAACTGTCAGAAGCTTTAGTAGCCTTGTGTTCTTGCCCATAGCAGGCACATAAGGCAGGTGAAGTTTCTGAGGATCAAAACTGGCTGCAGGAACATTTAGGGGCAAGCACAGCTGGGTAAATCCTTTGAGACATAAAGATAAGCAGTAAGAACACAACTGAGGTTGTGTGTTGTTTTGCTTGTTGGATATGTTTTTTGTTTTTTAAAAAACATTGCATGCTGCCTGTAATTTGTTTGGCTGGGAGGGATCTTTGTCAGCTGAGGTGACTGTTTATCTGTCCAGGACTAGCCATTCATTCCTTGCCTCTGAATTAAGGAGAGCCCCTCTCTAGAGTCTGTTGAAGTCTGTTGAAATAGTCAATATTTGTCAGTTTGCTGTTGATCTCTTCACAATTGTAATTAATGAAACATTTTTATTCTTTTTGCTACTAATGTCTAAGAATGAACTATTGAGAACTTAAGTGCCAGTTACTGAGAAAAGGGATGGACTACTCTAAGGAAGCTGTTCTCCTCTGTGAACTTCTGCACATCTGCTGCACAGCTGGTGGAATTTAATAAAAAATGCAAACTGCCATTTTGCCTTCCTTCGAATGGGGGATATGACAAGCGAGTAAAATGAAACTCTGGCCACAGTGACAACTCAGAGTTCTAACCAGTGCTGTGACCGTGGAGCCTGTAATGTCAAGGGACATAATCATCCTTTCACATGTTATCAATCTTACACAGGATCAGAGGTGTTAGGATCTATCTCTAGCACCTGGAACTGGCTCCCCATACCCGGTCTAAAGGAATCTGGCAAGGTCAGGAAAAAATCAGAATGTCAAAGGAATAATTTGGGCTTGACAGAATCAAAGTCTTACATTTCCATCAACAGGACTAGCTATGGGTCAGAATACAATATTATTTCTAATGTACCCCATTGAAACTTGGGACAAAATTAACAGCTCTTTTCCAAAACTGTTCCCTCACAGCCAGCTACCCTGCTGCCTGAGGTGGAGTAGCCCTGTTCCTCTTCAGTCATGGTGCAGAGTACTCAACATCATTCCAGTTATTTTGCCATATGAGACAGAAAATCCCACAAACACTTATCCTCACCTTTGGAATAAAAACTACAGTAATAACAAACTAAAATTGCATTCCTGGTGTGACTGTCACACAAGCCAGCAAACAAGAAAAACAGTTGTTTGTTTTCTTGGTTTAAAGCATTTGCTGAGGAACAGGAATCACTAAAAGCTGCTTGTGAGGATAATCTTCCATCCATGCATTCATGTTCTAGTCTGCATCATAACTACTGATGCTTAAAAATCCATGTTAACATTCTCTGGCTTCAAATCTGGAGCTAATATTGAACTTTGAACTCTAAGACAGGCATTTCGGAACATATTTAGTACATGTCTAGGGGAAGGAGCCACTAAGCACTGTCCTGTTTTCTTCCTGGCAATTCATATTGATTTACTGTAAATCAGAGTTGTTTCCAAAACCAATCACATGTGTTGTGACTGCATGGCAGTCAGAAGTAGTATTGTTTATCCTTTCCTGTCCAAAGACTTGACTGCCTACTCTATGGCATGCCACTAGAGTTGTAAATGTGTTGTTACAGCAGTATATAGCAATATATAGTCTTTATTTGTATCAGAGTGTGGCACAATTTAAAATTATACGCTTATATAAAATAAAAATAAAATTGAAATTAATCACAATATTAAAATGATTGGATTATATTTGACCAGGAGTGGGCTACTTCAATAGCATTTCCTCAGCCATTTACTAGATTATCTTTTGTACATGTGGTTTGGGCATAAATTGCATGCATATAAATGCTGTATTGATTGAATTTCTTCTCATTTACAGAAAATGTGTCCTATATCTAAGTAGCCCCATTTTATTTGATTATTCTTTGATCTTCCTACCCTGCTTTGAAGTCTATTAAGTGATTTGCAGATGGTCCAGCCAGAATCTTGTCTTGGTGGAAGACATTCTTCAGTATTCACATATTCAGCAAGGTATGCTGTTTTTGCTCTCCATAGGTTTGGCTTGAGCTCCTCTGGTTTAATATTTATAATCTTAGTTTGTAATATTAAAACTGCAAGGCTGGAAGGGACCCTATGAATCATCGAGTCCAGAGAGGTATGCAGAATTTTTTTTCTTGAATTTAGCCGTTGTCTAAGGGGTGGTGTCCACGAAATGGATGTGTTTATAATATATAATGATATATATGGCAATATATAATGATAAATGAAAAGTTATCATCCTGTTTTTATAAAGTGACCAAATAAACCTTTACAATTAGTATTGTTGTTCCTGAATCAGTCCAGAGAGGACTCTACTTCCAGGCAGAGTGAGGTAGCCCCCTCCACCAGTGGATTCTGGGAGCTGGCAGCAGTACTCCTAGCTGCTCTTTTTTTAGTGTTCTATTTTTTTGAGTTACTGCCCTGTTTTCTGATTTGAGACTGTCTGCCTATCTTGTCTCGTTGCTAGAAGACCAATTAAAGGAGAAGCAAACAGTCTACATCAGGCATCCTGACAGGCACTCTAAATGTCCATACTATTCTTCTAGTCTGGTGTTTGATCATTCCACTGCTGCTGCATTGCAGTATATGAACATTGAACAAGCAGTGTCACAATGTGGAAGGCTAGAGCTGCACTGTGCCACATGCCTCCTAGAACAAACTAAAAATTGCTGCCTTCAAGTCTGTTCAGGAAGCTGTCTAGTACTAGTGTCTGCAACAGAGTCAAATACCAGTTGGTCAGTTAAACCAAAGACAATGGCACCATCCTATCCCATGTTTGAGACAACAGGCTCATTTGCAGATGTTTATATAACAGAGACATCATAGCAACATATGCCGCATGAGCACATGGGTCTTCTTATTAACTGTATCCTAAAAATACCTAGCAGCTTTTACATGGCTAACAAAGTTGGAAACATGTTTATTTATATAGACTGGCTGAGGCTGAATAAATATGATTTGTCACTAATGTTTTTATTGTACATCACATACATCATTGTACATTGAGGTGTAAGGGGAATAGATTCCCTTCTTCATGGAGCCTACAATCTAAAATTCAGTGCAAGGCAACAACAAGAGGAAACATAAGAAAATTGGAAGAAAGGTAAATAGTGAAGGAATATGTGGCTATTCCAATTATTTCTGGTTAGGCTTAGTTATACAGTAATGTGAGTTATAGTGGCACATGGGTGTCAAGAATTGTGCCCAAGTATTTACAGAAAAAGGGTTAACTGTTTAGTGAGGCCATAGGAGAGGCAAGAGTCACACCAAGACCTTTATGATTCAAAGCACAGTCTCTTAGTCATTACACTACGCTGGTTCAACTTAGGTAATTTATTTAATATATTGAATGCTACAAACAATAAGTCCACTACATTTAGTAAGTGCAGTGCTTTCTGATGTGATGTCTCAAACTGCCTGAATGAAGGTTTTCAGTCTAGCCTAAAAAATTCTGATTAAGACACTTCTTAAGAGGGCTTAGCTATTTCTTTTAGGTATTTAGGTTTTACCAGTTTTAAAGGTTTGCTACTATGATCAACGCTGGGTTCAAAAATAACTCTTCACATGTTCCCATAAATAAAATTGTTCAGCAAGCAGTGCTCATGCTTATCCTTTGCTTTTGGGTACAGCAGAATAACTAGGTAAATGTTTTAAAGGA